GGCTTCCAGGCGGCTTTAGAGCCGCCTGTGTGAAAACGTCCACAGAGTTGCTATGAGTTGGGGTTGACTTGGGGGCGGTTAATAACAACAACAACCCAGGATATACTAGAAACAGAATAGGCATTCTGCATCTGGCTCTCAAGGGGTGCTTTCAATAAGTATTCCAGTTCTGGGCTTCATTTCCAAAAGGTTTGAATTTCATTAAACTAAAGACCAATATTTTTGCCCAATTTCTGTGACAGGTATCATGAAAAATACCATCCTTTGCTCTTTGAAATGGTAGGCAGGGCACTTCCCACCAAGTAAACAGACTTGTTCAGTGTTATCTCTTCCTGTGCTTTGTCCACTGTCTTCTTTGTGCTTTGTGCTTTGTTCTTTGTGCTTCCTGTGCTTTGTCCACTGTCTTCTTTGCAATCCCTTATTATTCCTATAGTGAGTTGTATAGGTAAAGGCAGGGTAGCAAAAATGTACACAAAAAGCATAGGCTATCCACAGCTGAAGTGACACAGGTCTTACACACGCTACTATTCTCACAATGTAATATCTGTTTGTTGTTCTCTGACTTAGGTTGGAGACCCTAAGGTGAACCTATCATGGGATTTTCTGGGGCTGAGAGTATGTCACTTGCCCAAGACAATCCAGTGGGTTTCCATGGCTGAGTGAAAATCAAACCCTGATCTTCAAAGTCATAGTCCAGTGCTGAAACCACTACACCACTCTGCCCCAAAGTCAAACTCTGCTCTTGACAGCCCTTCACTGTTATCGCTGCTGTGGTGGGTATCTCACACTTGATCATCCATTGTATGATTTTTCTTCAGAAGCTGAATCTTTGTGTGTATCCAGGTTACAGTTATATCAGATTGTGACACCGCCTAAACATGGTGCCATTACACAGAATCCTATGATTCATAAGTCTCTGACAAAGGATCTCCTTTTTACAAAGTTTTTTATACACTCAGACCACATTTTACTACTTGCCCTCTGACTCACAGGAAGCTTCTTTTCTTTTTTTAAAGTAAGATCAGTATTGGGAGAATGATGAAAGAGGGCTGGAGAAACACAGATCAGCAGTTTGTCCTTGTGGTTCTTGTTGTGTGCCTTCAAGTCATTTCTGACTAATGGTGGCCCTAAGGTGAACCTATCATGAGGTTTTCTTGCCAAGCTTTGTTCAGAGGAGGTTTACCCTTCAGGCTGAGAGTATGTGACTTGCTCAAAGTCACCCAATGGGTTTCATTGCCAAGCAGGGAATTGAACCCAAGTCTCCAGAGTTGTAGTCCAACATTCAAATCACTATGCCACACTGGCTCTCTCAGAAGCAGCAGTAGGTCTGCATTAAACAATCCAATGAGGCTTAAGATGAGAAAGAATAGGATTTTACTCTTGCCGATCCTACTGCAGCTGTGCATGCTTGCCTACAACAAGCAAGGTACACAGCAGCTGCCTTAGCAGTCCCTTATTAAGCATGTATAACCAGTAAAACAAAGGGCAAAGCAGTTTGTGATGCCATCTCAATATGGCTCCATCCCACAAAATCCTTTGATTTATAGTTGGGTGAGGTAGAAACATATCTCAGTAAACAAGCCGGCCTCGCCAGCTACTCCCAGCATGTTTTAAAAAAGCATAGATCTATAAATTTGGCCACCAAAATGGAAATCATAGGAAAAATGCAGGCTAGTGAAAGAAAAGGACATCCTTGAATACATTTTGAAGGAAATTTTTAAGTGATCTCTAGAAGATTAAAAAATTTTATTTACTTATGCAAAGCATACCTGGCTTGGTTGCTTCATTTCACTTGTGCATATTGTCAATTTAGAATCAAAGGCTTGCTGAAACATGTTGACCTGCTCTTCTGTTTTGTAGTATAGGAATCTATCCCTATTCTTTCTTAATAGAGGAGCTGTTGCTTGAGTCTCAGCCAGCTCTCTGAGGATAAGGAGCAATGAAGACCCTGTTGTTAACTACCTTGTAGCTTCAGATGCAAACAGAGCAATCCTTTATTCTAGATTTTTGGACAACTTGTCTTCCTTACCTCTTATTGTATCATCGTACCTGATGAAGAATTCTGGTACTTCCTGAAAGCTCATGTCACCTTGGTGGCAGATCTAGCCACTTTCAAGGCCGTGGATGGGGGTTAGATGATACACACAAGGTGAAAGTGATTGGGAAGCAAAACAAAACTGTGCTCTGGGCTAAAAACCAGAGCAAAAAGAAGCTGGAAAATGGACATCTTCACTCTGGCATATAAACAGCCTGGCACTAGTGCAGGATTGTGGCAAAGCAAAAACGTGATTGCCAATAATGCAATGGATGTAATTACAACATACACAAACCAGATAGTCCAGCAAAGGTGCATGGGGGGGAAGGGGCATGTATGTATAGGGGGGCTTGCATGATTGTGCTTTGCCACTGGATGCACTGATGCACCAATACACTGTTCAGATTGTGTATCTCATGTGCAACTGTGTGGCCAATCTTAAGGGGGAGTGTCTAATGGAATGGCACCTGGACAGGAAGAAGGAAGTAATTGGAGGTTGCTGGTGGTATGCTTGTATGATGGTGTGCATGCATGGTGGGCAGGCAGCAATCATCATCATTATCATTGCATGGCACAGCTTGACACTATGCTGTGCAGACAGCCTGTGGGTGTTTGAGCTGCCTTCAGTGCAGGTAGTGCAGTGCGGGTTTGATCCTCTTTCAGATAATGCAGGATGGAGCTGCTTTAGGGCTCTGGCCCTAAAACATTTTGGTTTTGCTTATGAAGCATACAGCTATTTAGTTAAAATGTTGGAAATTTTATAGATTTATTTGTGGTATGTGTCTTCAAGTCCACTCTGACTTGATTCTGGCGATCCTATTATAGTGTTTTCTTGCCGAAATTTATTCCAAGGAATGTTGTCATTGCTTTCCTCTTAGGCTGACAGATCTCCTTGGAGCGCGCTAATATTTTTTGTGTTCAAAACACCCTGTTGCATGTCATTGAAGTCCTGGTTTGTTCCACATCAGATCTAACAACTGCTCTCCAGATGCACTGGAATAGTTTGCACAGCTCTGACAGGGAAGATGCATTATTGGACTTCCCAGCTGTCCCCCCCCCCCCAAAAAAACCTTTTTTCGGTTCAAATGCTTTTAAGTTTAAAGCTGCTGTTTAGCTTTGTGTACATAAGAGAGCCAGCATGTTGTGGTTTGAGTGTTGGAAGATGACTGTAGAGAACAGAGTAATATGAGCCTTCCAGCCTAGAATATTAGGAGGGGATAAGAATTGTAGCAAAACACATCTAGAGGGCACCCCCAATTGAGGACAATTGAATGAGATAAGCTTATCGCATGGCACTTACAAGAACCAGAACGGAACGGGGCAAAAACACATTTTCCTAGATAGGAGAATGCCACCGATGCTGCCGGGAGTCCCCAAGGCGTTCCCCAGCCATTGCTAGCAGACGATTTTTTGAAGGACAGTTCAAAATCGTCCTTCAACAATCAGCTGCCAGGACCAGCTGGGGAATGCCTTGGGGACTCCTGGCAGCATCAGTGGCGTTCTCCCATCCAGTAAAATGCATTTTTGCCCCATTCTTTTCCGTTCCCGTTCCTTAAGTGCCGTGCTATAAGCTTAAGAGCAGGGGTAGGCAACCTTTCCCCTTTAAGGGCCAAGGGACTTCAGCTCCCAGAATCCCAGGAGCTATTGGCCAACATGGGACTATTGGTCAACATGGTTGAGACTTCTGGGAGCTGAAGTCTCTTGGCCCTTAAAGGGGAAAGGTTGCCTACCCCTGCTTAAGAGTGTTAGGTTAGGACCAAGAAGAACAAGGTTGAAGTGCCTGCTGGTCTATGATGTTCTTTGGATGACCATGCTCCAGCTCTTTTCTCTCAACCTATTTCACAGGATGGTTTTGAGGGGCGAGGGAACTTATATGCCCATTCAGAGCTCCTAGAAGGAAGGGTGGTAGAAAAAATAATAACATAAATGAAAATTCTTTTTCCCTGTGATAAGCAGAATCAGATACATATGGCCATTTTGTTTGATTGCAGTAGAGCAGATCTGTACCTGTGCATTTCTAACTGTAAAATTACAAGGCTATATAAAAGTTTCGTTCATTTTATTGTCAGGTTTTCAGACAATAGAACATATATGCTTTGGAATCTGAAAGGACAAAGCTGTCTCTTCAAATAGGGCTATAAAGAAATTCTAGTGACCTATAGTCACTGTATGTGCAGCTTAATGCCTTCGGGTTTTTTGATTAAAGCTCCACTAATCTTTCACAATTGATGATGTGAAATTAGAGTCATGAGAGCTGCTGCCAGCACATCTGGAGAGCTGTGGTTGTAGTATGCTTTCAAGTTGTTTCCAACTTTTGGCAACCCTGACACAATCCTCCCATATGGTTTTCTTGGCAAGATTAATTAAAGGGAGTTTGCTTTTGGGTTTCCATGGCTGAGAGGGGATTCAACCCCTGGTTTCTAGAACTGTAGTCCAATGGTTTGTGCACTGTAGTCCAGTGGTTGTGTCACCTCTGGAGGTGCCACAGCTTAAATTGGATTTTTAGATCCAACTAGAGTCATTCCACTGAATCAATGTAACTTACATAAGGGTGGACTTATCAAATACTCATTGAGTCTCCTATAGTTGGAATTAAAAACAAGATTTAGGTCCAGTCTGTCTACCGCTGCTGTAGATAGTGCTGAATTAGACAGATGTATGGTCCAGCTAGGTATAAGGCAGCTTCCTATGTTACATTCCCTAGATGATGGGAAGTGCAAAATAGCATTAGTGAGAACTTTTATCAGTGAAGCCTTCCATTTTCTTTTTCCTCATCTAATTTCCTTCATTGGCACACAGCCGGCCATTTAATGATCCTTTGGCTCTTTTTTTTTACTGGCACCAGGTCTCTTATCATCACAGTACAAATACTTTGTGAGAGCAACAACAACCAATGAAAACAATAACATTTTCCCCTGGCTGAGGTGAAGGATGAGACAATGAAAGGAAACAAAACAGAGAAAGGGGGGAAAACAGGATATAAAAAGCAGGCTTTCATGATAGTAAGGAGCATTTGAGAAAGTTTGGACCACTGTGCTGAAAACCACAGGGATTGGTATGTGCTTTTCTGTTGTTATTTAGTTGAAAGTTGTTCTTATCAACAGTTTTTTTATTAATTTTGGTTTTGGATCATTTTTAAATCTTGCAGAATTCAGTTTAAGAGCTATAATATATGTTTTTAAAATAAAACAAAAATAATTTGATTTGAACAGTGATTTACCTCTCTCTCTCTCTCTGTGTGTGTGTGTGTGTGTGTGTGTGTGTGTGGTGGGGGGTTCATATTAGATTAGATTCAGATGTAGGAAGAGTTCAATTCTTTTTCCACACAGCTTTCTTGAAAATAGAGCCAGCAGGAAATGCACCTGTATCACGCTTCTTTTTTCCCCCTTGGTGGGTCTAATAGCAACTTCAGAGCAGTGTATTTTTTTTAAAATCAAGACAGTAGTGCAAGACACACCCTAGAAGTAGTAGTTGTACTACTTGACTACTACTACTAGGCTCTGACTTTCCTAACAACAGCAACAACAACAACAACAACAACAACAATAATAGCTTTTGGGGGCACTATCTTCCACCAGAGTTCCTGCTCAGCATAACTAGTAGCTGCTTGGCTGGTGGCGTAAACAAGTCACAGTCCAAAAAGTAGTAATTTCAGGGGTTGATGGAGCAAAATTAAATACCCTTTCCCCTCATGCTCCTTCCCTGAACAGAACTGAAGTTTCCCACAGCTACTTTAATTTTTTTTAATGATTGGGAAATATGATTACAGAACCAACTGTGTTGCATCTTTTTGGGCTCATTGGCTACCCAAGAGCTGCCCTTGTATATTCCCAAATTTTCTGAAAGACCTCTGTTTTATTTATCCTTGCTTCCCATTCCCTTTTCCTTTAGTATCTCTTTCCAAAAGAGCAGCCTGACCTGGAGTAATTCAGCAGTGCACAAGTTTCCTAGTATGGCAATAAAAATGATGAGAGAAAATTTATCCACTTTGTTTGGATTTATTGGGCTCCTTTTACAAGTGCAACAGAAATGTTTGCCAGTCAGAAATGTGAGAGGTCATGGAATGGAGTAGAGCTCAAGGGTGGAGTATTTCCTCTGCACATGGAGCAAACAATTCTTGTAACTGAAGGACCTGAAGCAGTGATGGGTGGAGTGGGAAAGATCTTTCCCTGGAAAGCAAAAGTAGATGGTCCTCAGCTCGATTGACCAGTGCTCTTGCTCCCTATGATGTCATTCTTTTGAGTATATTTCACATGGAACTATCTCCCAA